CCCCCCCCCCCCCCCCCCCCCCGGCCCAATGAAGTTCTTTGATGATGTACTCTTTAAGAGAACATTTATGAATGCATAGTTAGAAAAAAATCATCAAGTAATTAATATCTTCATATTTACCTTTTTGCAATTTCGATAAATCTCCTTGAAATCAGAATCATCTACATACGTTAGTCGTATGCATAAAAAAATTCCAACTGAATAGTCATAGAATTCAACAATGGAACTCTCCGACTAAGTGAATCGCCCACTTTGTTAAGTCTTCCACTCTTAGGGCATCTCTAAAAGATTCTTTAAACATGAGATGACCTTTATTTTAAACAGAGAATCCTTAAAATTATGTTTCAAGATACTTCTTTATATTGACATTTTAAAATAGTGAGAGAATTTGGAAAGCTAAACTCATTCTCTACAATTAAATGTATTCAAAGTATTTCAATTTTCAATGGAGAAAAATAAATAATAATATAGAGGGAAGCTAAAAAAAAAAATGAAAGATAGGAATATTTTCTAAGAATGGTTAAAAAAAGAGAGTTAAATATAAAGGGTTCGTCAGAGTCTTTAAAATTTTTTATTCTCTCTAAATTTATAGATGTGCTCTAAATTGCAAAATATGCTCTTTAAAAATAGTCTCTTGGAGAAATTCTTATGCCTCAACATAAAAGTATATTCTTGTAGAAATAATACCCAACCAACATGTCTTGTATTCAAGTTCGCCTGAGAATTAATATGTTTGAGAGCTTTATGATCAGAGTTAAGGACAAATTCTCATTGAATGAGATATCGTTGCCAATGACAAAGAGCTTGAACAATGGCATAGAGCTCTACATCATAAGTAGAATAATTTTTCCTTGTATCATTTCCTTTTTCACTAAAGAAGGCAATTGAATGTTCTTCTTAGTTGAGAACTTATCCAATTCCCGCATGAGATGCATTAAAATTAACTTCAAAGATTTTCTCAAAATTAGGAGTGCGAGAACAGGTGCGCTAGATAGCCTTTCCTTGAACGCCTTTGGACTTCACATAAATTCTCCTTTCTTCAAGCAATCTATCAATGGTGATGCAATAGTGCTGAAGCTTCTAATGAATTGACGGTAAAATGAAGCCAATCCATGGAAACTATGTGTTCATGTAGATTCTTAGGAGCAAGCCATTCTTGGACAATTTTAATCTTATATTCATCCACCATAACACTTGAAGGGGTTAAAACAAAACCTAGAAAAACTAGGCGGCTGGTCATGAAAGAATACTTTTTGAGGCTTACATAAACTTTCCCTTGTCTCAAACTCATTAGAACAGCTCTCAAGTGTTCAATCTGATCCCAATGGATTTTGGCTATAAACAAGAATATCATCAAAATAAACAACGAAAAATTTTCAATGAAAGGGTGAAGAGCTTGATTCATTACCCCATAAAGGTGCTTGGAGCATTGGAAATGCCAAATGGAATAACAAGTCATTCATGCGAACCTTTTCTTGTTTTAAATGTTGTTTTCCATTCATCTCTCGGCTTAATTCTAGCCCCTGTTTGGCCCCCATTTTGTAGTGTTGAAAACTTTTGGAATAGTGATTGATGGGAGAATGTGTGGTAGAAAAGTAATGAAAAGTTTTAGATTTGTATGTAATATTATTTTATTTGATGAATGTATGGTTGAAATAAATAGAGAAAAAAATTAATGTAATGTAATGGAAAAAAATGGGGGCCAAACGGGGACCTAATTTGATGATTGTCACTTCGAAGATCAATTTTAGAGAACAAGCCATTCATACAAAACGTAGTGTTATAATACTTTAAAGAAGCTTATAATTTTTGAAAAGCATATAGTTGTGATATAATACTTCAATCTTGAATAAGTCACAACTGGAAGGTAAAGTCCTTCATCATTGCAATGTTAATCATCAGTTTCCATAATTGGTATACTAGAAGTCATCATGGGAAATGACTCTCCATGAGTAGAGTTTAGCTTTCTAATCATCATTAGAAGTATTTAAAGAAAAAAGAACACCTTGTTAGTTTGATGTATTATTGCAAAATGTTTCAGTATATGCATACTTTATTCAATATCCCGGAGTCGGATAATTTTCAATTTTCCTGGCCTCTGGTTTCTGATGAGTCACTTGGAAAGTTTGACGTCTCTGAACTCCACTGGTTCTTCGTCTTCACGCTTGGTAATGCTGAATTCTGCAACATCAGTTCATAATAAATCAGTTCAATAGGACTGGGAAAAATAACGGAGAACATTTTAGTTCTTTTCTTCCTTCATATTGTCCAGTTAATCTATGTACCATACAAGAAAACCATATGTGTACCGTGTAGCTTGTGAGGAATATACATATATTTTGTGGATTATGGTCTAACATAGAGTTTGGAAAAGCATAAAAGGAATGTCGGAATGTTATTATAAGGAGCTAGGAATTACCTGCTCAGAAGAAACTCGGTTAACATGAAATGCTTCTTGACAAGCGCTTTGATTCATGTCCATGCCAAACCCTTGTTGCATCCCAGAAAAATTCGAGAACATACAATCTATATCTTGAAAATAAAAGAAATCATCAGAAGGAAACCTAGGGTTTGATGAAGAATTTGCACCAGGTCTGGCATTCTTAGGAACAGACAAAAGCTGTTCACGATGTTGCTGGTGGGAACTCATGATTTGTTTATCGTTTGACATTTCAGTTTCTGTAAGCACTTCAGCAACTTCATGGGTTTTGTGATGCTCAACAGTTACATTTTCATATCCATGTCCGCAGTCATTTGGCATTTCATTTTCTGTAAGGATTTCAGAACCTTCTTGGGTTTCGCTATGGTCATTAATTAGCAAACTGTTCTTCTTTAAGCAAGGCATAGACCCGAATCTTCTAGACTTGTTTTGGCCTGATATGTTAGAGTCTGTAGATCCTTCCAGAGCATTATTCTGATTAAATTTCCTCTCTACAGGAGCTCTCCAAGTGTCGTTTCGGAATTTCTAAGCCAATTAAGAAATCACGAAGTAGTTAAGTTACTAGATAGGGTTCGGCAAGACAACTATTACATATTGTCAAATAAAACTAACCTGAAGATGGCTTGATACTTGCATTCTCGTCAGACCAGGCACGTCCATTAGCTCCAGAATATCTTTAGGGAAACACCCTATATTTCCAAACACAAGAAGCATATGTACGTCTTACTGTTACATTTTATACATTTTCTTTTGTGTATGTGTGTGTATGTGTAACAAGGGCTGCAAATTAAGCCCCTATTTGACAGATTTTTTATTTTTTATTTGGAAAGAATGAGTTTTTTAGCAAATTTTTGGAGAATATATCGTTTCAAAATATGGAAAAGTTTTGGGCTCATGTGAAAAATATTTTATTAAGAGAATGTATGGTTGACAATGAGTATCAAAAAAACAATTGAAAGAACCAAACATGGGCTAGCATAAAAAACATTATAATAGTAAAAGTGTTAAGGGCACGAAAAACATACTTCCTTCACCAAGCTGTCCCAAAGCATCAATAAACTTTCGATGAAGTACTTCAGTCCACTCTATGCATTCTTTGCTCTTAGCCTTACTGGTGATTAACTGATGTTGTGATTCACATTCTTTGTTGAACCCAATCAAAACTTCTCGTCCACATATTTTATTTTTCCCTTTGTATCTGTTGTTCTTCATATTGCTGTTGAACCCAATCAAAACTTCTCTTCCACATATTTTATTTTTCCCTTTGTATCTCTTGTTCTTCATGTTGTTGCCTCCAGTAAAGTTGTTTTCCTCCTCAACTTCTAGTCTAAATTCAATCCCTTTAAAGGTATGATTATTTGTCGCAGCCTTTCCTATAATTCTTTCCTTTTCTTTGTAGACCCTTATTTTCTCTCTTACTACATGTTGCCAAAGGCACTTCAACATGTCCATTGTAACTGGCTTCTTGATAAAGAGGAAAGCTCCCTTTTCTAGAGCTCCCATTGCAAGGAATGCGTTGTCATCAATTGACATTACTGATTCAACATAAAATTAGAAGGAAAATAAACATTTCAAGTGAATCGTATGATAAGAAAGAATTTATTGTGAAAAACCTTAATCCATCGTTGTATTGGATAGAAATATACGAACCTAATTCATGCAGTTGACCCGAAATTTAGTGAAATTAGGAATTTTAATATATTATTGCCTCAAAAGGAATAGAAGTATATAATAAATACTTACGAATTACTGGTATGTCCATGTTAACTGCCTGTTGGAGAAGTTTATATCCTTGCAAGTCAGGTGAATTTATATTTGCCAAGACAATGTCGAAATGCGTCTTTCTGCTTGAAAGCAGTGATAAAGCAATTGAAGCAAGTTCAACACATGTAACTGAAACAAATCAATTTTGGACAACTGATTAGTTAGAAGGAAATAATGTAACGGCAAAAAGTACAACATTTTAGCAAAGTAATTATCTGGCTTAAAGTAATGTTTAAAAAAATTAATACCTTTAGTCATCAATAAAAAAGAAATTAATGAAAATTCTTCAATTTTTTGCTTCAATTAAAAATATTTAAAACCACGGAAAAAAAAAAGGGAAAGATTACATCCAGAGGCATAGAGGGATAAAATATAATTACCAACGTTAATTGGTCTGACAAGATAAGGTAAACGTTATTAATACACTTCATGTTTTGATATTAGAATGGTAAATTAAGAAATAAATTTTATGGTTTTGTTCACATAAAGGCTGGTGAAATTTTGCAGTTAATACTTATTCAAATGACAGAACAACGAAATATTTAAAAGCAATAATCTTCCATTGAATATTGATGAATCAGCGAGAACAATGAAGCAATTCTAATAAGATTTGAGAACAAAAGAAAAGGAAAAAACAACTGGAAGAAATCAAGTCTCCATACATATATACACACACACGCACGCACAAAAGTGATCACGATTTTTATATCATTTATACCACATTTGTGCAAAAAAAATCAAATCAAATAGAGGAAAGTAGACGAACGTATAGTCTTGCTCTTGTATCCTATGAAAAATTGATTAAAACAATATTTCATACCTTTGTATGAACAAAGCTCTAACATTTTTGTTGTAGAAATCGAACAATCAGAATCATGATCCACTAGCAACACATGAACCTTACTCATCACTTCACGATATGAAGCCATTGGATTGACGTTTCTACCATCATTTGGCTGAAAACCCCCTAATTTCCACATGATGATAAGAATGCGACTGAATTAATTAGATGATAATGAGCATGAAGAGAAGGAAAGATGAGATAAATGTTAATTAAGAACTCTAATCAAGAGACTCATATAAGTGTACAGTGAATACCAATGTACAGGAGAGCAATAATTATAAGTGTTTTGGTACCAAAAGGTACTTGAATTTTTTGACAGAAAAGGTTCTTTTTTCCCATTGGATATTAGAAAGTTGAATTTCATTTATGATTTATAAAGGCCAAATGAATGGTAATATTATTAGATAAATGTGTCAATGAATGGTTCATGTTGACTAATTGCAAGTTCACATAACAACATAGGAAGTTCATAAATGCTATTTTCCTTTTTGTTATGTATTGGGCTGCCTCATCATTCTTTGGCACAGTTGAATGTGTTGGGCCAGTGTTGTACCGAATTCTTTGGCACAGAACTTATTTCTCTTGACTTTGTGATCTGGCTCTACACTTGGCCAGATCTCTACCGTTGATGAAGATGCTTGGACTCTATGTCTTATAGTGATTCTCGAAGCTTCATTCTTGCATAACTGTTCGGTGTCTTTGAGAGAGTTCTCTCTGTGTGATTATGGTTCATCTCTTTCTTTCTGCTATTTTGTAAATCTGAGTGATTTCTGTATATTTCTGAGTGATAAGGTAGTGAGGACACTTGATCTATTTTATGTGAGATTGTGTATATTCTAAGTGATTTGAGGCTAGAACAAATTGAAGAAATCTCTAATTTCTTCATACATTGTAAGATATTTCTTGGTGATTTTTAGTGAACTAGAGCGTAATCCCTTTGTGTGGATGCTCAATGGGTGAGTAGGCCAAAGGCTGAACATCCGAACCCTTTGGATGAAAAATTATTTTTGTTGTTCTTTACTTTTCGCGATTTACTGTTTTAAATTGTGTTCTTTGTGAACTCTGGGATCAACAAGTGGTATCAGAGCCACGATTAGTTGTAAATCTATGTTGGCGTTCGATTTTTCAGAAACCCTAATTTTTCAAATTGTTTGACTCTGTAGATCTTACGATTTCTGAAAAAATCTTTGTGGAAAATAATATCCTTGGGTTTGAGTTTTCTGATTCATTTTTAAAATAAGTTTCTCTAAAAGTTTTAAGGTTTTTTGTAAACTGGTTTGTGTAATTTTTCTGGAAAATCGTTTCTCCTGTGGGATATCTACTTTGATATGGTGTTCTTACTGAGTTTGTGGTGTTCTTGATCCAACTCAATGCTGAGTCGTGGTGACTAGTTTGACTTACACCGAGTCGTGGTAAGTTGAGTTGACTCATTCGATTCCACTGAGTCTTCACTGAGTCTGTGTGACTCCTAAGGCTTTTTCTCATCTACTTATGGTATTCTCTGAAACTCCCTATTATTTCAGTATCCTATGTCACTTCTTAGAACTTGTTATTAAGGTAAGTGATCATCTCCTGCTTTCCTTTATCCAAGATCTCACTGATGATCTGGGAATCTGAGGGATTAGGGGATAAAAGGTTACCATCTCTTAAACATTTTCAAGAATTGACGTTTCCTGCATGTATTATTGTTACTGGTTTATCAATTGTTAGCACTTTTCATATTCTGTGATTTCTTGAAGTCTTTTCTTATACTACCAATACTTGTTAGTTACTTTGTGGCATATTATTTGATTCTTGTTTGTTTATCTTTAATAATGTCTACTACACATAAATTTGAAATAGAAGTTTGGAAGAGGACTGGGGATTTTAGTTTACGGAGATAGAAAATGAGGGCTCTGTTGTTGCAGCAGAGGTGTGCTGCTGCCTTAGATGGGACTTGGCCACCTAAATTTAGTGTCTATAGAAGACAGGAGTTAGATGAGACTGCTTGGAGTTTCATTTTTATTCACTTATCTGATATTGTTATTAGGAAAGTTGGAGAAACCAGTAACACTCAGGGTTTATGGACAAAGTTAGAATCTCTCTATCTTACTAAGAGTATGCCCAACAAATGCTATCTCATTAGATAGTTCTACGATTTTAGATTTAATCGTTCTTCTACACTGGAAGATAACATCGATAAATTCACAAGACTTGTTCAAGAATTGACTGATTGTGATGAGAAATTGTCTGAAGATCAACAAGTAGTGGCTTTTTTGAATACCTTAGGGGACAAATATAGAAACCTTAGAAATGCCTTGAAATATGGAAGAATTGATCACTGTTGTCATTGTTATATCATCCTTGAAGAACAGAGAACTTGAATTGAAATCCGATTTCAAGACTTTAAATCTAATGAAGCTTTGAATGTGAGGGAGAAACCCAATCAGAATAAAAGGGAAAATCAATGCAATTACAACTCTCACAGAAGAGATAAACTCCAATTTACCAAGTTCAGAAATCAGAAGAAGACTCAATCTAAATCTAAACTACAACCCAGAAAATGTTACTACGATGGAAAAATAGGATCTCTTATCAAAGATTGTTTCAAAAAGATCTCTGATATGAAAGATAAATATAATTCTGATGGGTCTGCTGCTGTTGCCTATAACAATGAGTATGATATTTAGGGGGTTGTTCTTGTTAATACCACTAATAGGAACCCAAAAGAATGAATTCTTGATTCTAGCTGTACTTTTCACATGTGCCCTATAAGGGATTAGTTTACTGAACTTGTTGATCAAAATGGGGGGCAGGTTCAGATGGGAAATGACATGAGTTGTCTGATAAAGGGGGATAGGAAATGTGAATCTTCAAATTGATAACAACAGAATCCTCAAACCTGATAAGGTCAGATTTGATCCTGAATGAAAGAAGAATTTGATTTCCTTAGGAGAGTTGGATGATGACTATGATATAAGAATCCACAAAAGCTTTATCAAGCTTCATCTAAATAATAAAGAGATCATCTCTTTGGCCAAGATTAATGATATATACACTATGCATGCTGAACTTTTAGTAGGTTACAACTCTGCTGCTGTAAGTATAAAATTTGACAAGTCTTTAATCTGGCACAAAAGGTTTGGCCACATGTCTGAAAATGGACTGAAAAGGGATTAACTATTTTAAATAAACTTAACTACTTTGGAAAAGAAAATTTTGAAAAACTTAGTCTCTGTAAAAATAGTGTTTTTGGAAAACAAAATAAGCTTCATTTTAAAACTGGAGTCCATAAATCCACCTCAATTTTGGACTATTTACATGCTGACGTGTGGGGTCCAGCATATGTGAATACCTTGAGTGGTTATAGATTCTACTTGCTTATAGTAAATGATTTTTCAAGAAAAATATGGACTTCAAACTTGCGAAGCATAAGTCTGACACTTTTCAAAATTTTAAGTAATGGAAATTGATGATTAAAAATCAAACCAATAAGAAAATTAAAGCACTTAGGACTGACAATGGTCTTGAATTCTATAATCTGAAATTTTAATCTTTTTGTAGGGAAAATGGAATTCTAAATCATAGGACTGTGACATACACTCCTCAGCAAAGTGGTATTGATGAGAGGATGAACATGACCTTATTAGAGAAGGTCAGGTGTATGATTCATAGTTCTGGTATTCCAAATTTCTTTCGGGGAGAAGCTTTAAAAACTACTGCATATATCATTAATAGAAGTCTTTCAAGTGCCATTGATTTTCAAATTCCTGATAAACCGTGGTCCAAAAATGTGCCTAATTACACTAGACTTAAGGTTTTTGGATGTGTTGCCTATTCCCATCAAAATGAAAGAAAACTTGAACTAAAGTCCTTGAAGTGTGTCTTCTTAGGGTATGGGGAAGAGACCAAAGGGTACAGACTTTAGGTTAAATGTAAAAATGGGTTTCAAGTTATTATTAGTAGAAATGTTATCTTAATGAAAATGACTTCCACTTCAAGTCCAAATCTGAAACAGTGTCTGATAATACTATTCCTACCATTGAGACCATTCCTAAAAATAGATTTGATGATAACAATGATTTGATTGAGGTGGAGTCCACTCAATCTGAAGCTAATCAGGATCTGAGTGAATCTGATGATGAAGCTGAATTCATTAATCCTTCCTTGCTGACTACTAACTAACTAGAGACAGAGATAGAAGGAACATAATTCCTTCCACTAGGTTTAACAGTGATGATTTTGTTACTCTGTTCACTGCTCTTGATTCTTTGAATGCTGAACCCTCCACTTTTGAAAAAGATGTCAATTGTTCTGAGTCCAAGATGTGGAAAAAAAAAGCTGTGAATGAAGAAATGGAATCTTTGGTTAAAAACAGAACTTGAATTTTGGTTAATAAACTTAAGAATCAAAAAGTAGTTGACTGTAAATGGGTTTTCAAAATTAAAGAAGGGGATTCTAATGTAGGAGGTAAAAGATACAAAGTTAGACTTGTGGCAAAAGGCTTCACTCAAAAGGAAGGAGTTGACTATAATGAGATATTTTCTCCTGTTGCAAAATACAACTCCATTAGAATTCTGCTTGCATTGACTGCTCATTTTAACTGGGAACTTGATCAACTTAATGTGAAAACTGCTTTTTTGAATAGGGATCTTGAGTAAACCATTTATATGAGACAACTTGTTGGTTATGAAGTCAAATCTAATGCTCACAAAGTCAGCTTGTCGAAAACATATCTTTATGACTTAAAGCAAGCTCCCAGACAGTGGTATAAAAAATTTAATTCTTACATTGAGACTTTGGATTTTATTAAGAGCAATTATGACTTTGTGAGGAACATGGCTGAAAAAGGTTTGATCAGCTTAGAGAAAATTTCAACTGAGTTTAACCCCTCTGATGTGAAACCAAAGTTTTACCTTTAAATAAATTTAGGAATTGTTTAAATACTCTAAACATTACTGATCCGCAGTAATCTCTAGGATATCAAGTAGAATTGTGTGAGAATGAATTCTAACTTTTTCTGTTTTTTATTTTTTACGGGTTAAATAAGAGCAAAAGAAACATATTGACTCTCTAGTACACCAAGTCACCAAGAATTATTCAGTAAGGTGGAGATTGTTATGTATTGGGCTGCCTTATAATTCTTTGGCCCAGTAT